GGATAGAGGAGAGGATAGGTGGAGAGGAAACAAACAGGTCGAAGAGGCGGGGATGGAGCCAGTAAAGGTGAGTGTAGGTGGGGAGTTAGGAAGGGGATAGGTCAGTCCAGGGAGGACGGACAGGTCAAGGCGGCGGGATGAGGTTAGTAGGTAGGAGATGGGGGTGCAGCTTGAGGTGGGAGGAGGGGATAGGTGAGAGGAAGAACAGGTTAGGGAGGTGGGGATGAGCTGGACTGGTTTTGGGATGCGGTAGGGGGAGGGGAGATTTTGAAGCTTGTGAAATCCACATTGATACCATTGGGCTGCAGGGTTCCCAAGCGGAATGAGTTGCTGTTCCTGCAACCTTCGGGTGGCATCGTTGTGGCACTGCAGGAGGCCCAGGATGGACATGTCGTCTGAGGAATGGGAGGGGGAATTGAAATTGTTCGCGACTGGGAGGTGCAGTTGTTCATTGCAAACCGAGCGTAGGTGTTCTGCAAAGCGGTCCCCGAGCCTCCGCTTGGTTTCCCCGATGTAGAGGAGGCCACAACGGGTACAGCGGATGCAGTACACCACATTGGCAGATGTGCAGGTGAACATCTGCTTGATGTGGAAAGTCTTCTTGGGGCCTGGGATGGGGGTGAGGGAGGAGGTATGGGGGCAGGGGTAGCACTTCCTGAGGTTGCAGGGAAAAGTGCCGGGTGTAGTGGGGCTGGAAGGGAGTGTGGAGCGGACAAGGGAGTCACGGAGAGAGTGGTCCCTCTCATTTCAACTCCCCCTCCCATTCCTCAGATGACATGTCCATCCTGGGCCTCCTGCAGTGCCACAATGATGCCACCCGAAGGTTGCAGGAACAGCAACTCATATTCCGCTTGGGAACCCTGCAGCCCAATGGTATCAATGTGGATTTCACAAGCTTCAAAATCTCCCCTCCCCCTACCGCATCCCAAAACCAGTCCAGCTCGTCCCCGCCTCCCTAACCTGTTCTTCCTCCCACCTATCCCGTCCTCCCACCTCAAGCCGCACTCCCATCTCCTACCTACTAACCTCATCCCGCCCCCTTGACCTGTCCGTCCTTCCTGGACTGACCTATCCCCTCCCTAACTCCCCACCTACACTCACCTTTACTGGCTTCATCCCCGCCTTTTCGACCTGTTTGTTGCCTCTCCACCTATCCTATCCTCTATCAATCTTCTATCCACCTCCCACTCTCTCCCTATTTATTTCAGAACCCCCTTCCCCTCCCCCATTTCTGATGAAGGGTCTTGGCCCAAAACGTCAGCCTTCCTGCTCCTATGATGCTGCTTGGCCTGCTGTGTTCATCCAGCTCTGCACCTTGTTGTCTCTATAAACACATTGACACAGTATTGCCAATGAATTCCAATCCAAAAGAGATGTCACCTTGGGAAAAGCAATGTAGCTGATGAGAAACAGATCCATAAAAAGATGAAGGTGGTTAGACATCTTGAGCATACTTAAGTTCCCTAAGCACAGGGGTATAAAAACAACACCAGATAAGAAAGTACAATTGGGAAGGAAAGAACAAACCACCATAAATCTTTGCCAGCATGTCAGTAGTTGTTTGAACATCCCAACAATTCGAATCATGCTGACACTAAATGAACCAACATAAAAACAGAGGCCAGAACCAGGGAATGGAATCTGAGGCAAACAGTTTATGGAGGAGCCGAAGATAATGGCTTTGGTTTTGTCATTTCACAACTTGAAGAAATACAATTCGTTGAAGATGGGAAGTCATACAAATAGGCTGAAATGGTGGTTGCACTGGAGGCTTGGAGGGGAAATGATGATGAGGTACAGCTAGATGTTGCCAGCTGCATGGAGTGAGGACTACAGAAATCAGGAAATAGCAATTAGGTAATGCAATGCTTGGCTTTAAGTGCCTGTAGGAGGAAGGGAAAACTAGAACACCATTTATACTGGATTAAATAGAGCCAAACTCTTCCAAGCCACTGATGAAATCCAGCAGGTTTGTTTTGGGACCGTGAGGCCATGTGTCAGGAGAGAGTAGCACCATCATCAGTCATGAACACGACTAAAACAGCTTGAGAAAGTTGGGTATTTCACAGCTTCAAAGTTCTGGGAAAGCATTTGATTAGGAGATTGAGTAATGAGCTATGCTGCTAATGGGTGCCAAACATCATCTACTCAAGAACTCCCCTCAAAAAGTAATGCAAGTAACAGGATAAATGCTAACGTAAATATGCATTTTTCTGATTATCATTTTGGTGATTGAAGAATGACAGGAATAATTCCATGACTACAACTCTAAAGAATTAACTCATTTTAATTGTTCACACATTCTGATCTTTTGAAAGTAAAATAAAATGTGTTAATAGTATATGCAAGAAATTTGGGACTCATCCGGGTTTCCAATTTGGTCATTGTGTTTACTTGGTTTGGCCTTTCAGAATAAAAGAAATTTCAGTGACTAGAGCTGCAGCAGTTTACCCTTGACTCAGAAGATCACACAGGTACAGCGTTGACAAAGAAAACTCAGGAAAATATTTCAAACATGGCCTGATAACTTTGACTTTTTAAATTAAGTATTAGTAATAAAGGCGTAGGACTGCAGTCAGAGGTACAAATGTAGAAGTATGGAGGATAAGGCGTTATAGTTAGAATATTTAGCAGGCTCTTCTATTTAACTGATCTGACTGGCCTGCTGAATATTTTGAAGATTTATCACTTTATATTAAATGGTTAGTATTGAATTGTTCTGTTCAGTCCTATTTGTAAAAATCTAACCTATTATATATCCCAGATTCACATTTACTCATTTTTCAGTCTTAATTTCCATTATGATTAGATATTTTACTATCTGTTTATATTGCTGCTGCATTCTATGCAACTACTGTAGCATGTTTTGTACGCACCTGCACTTTGCTCTATTAGATTCTATTACTATTACCATAGCATTGCTTTTCCCATAATCCGAGACTATTCTATTTTATAAATTACAATCAATTCAATAACATTAGATACAGTTTAAAAATCCATAGGATCCAAACTGGTGACCTGTAAGGCCATCTCCCTTGCCTTGTCATTGATACTGAATACTATTGGTCACCGCCAATGGAGTGCTGGTCTGAGTGCATATCAGGCAGACACAGAGTATACTGGATCTGTGAATTCATGGCAAACACCAACCTGTTCATTGGAGGAAGTTAAATGCGTGTATTTCAGAACAAACATGGAAGTGATGGAGGGGAATCCTGCATCATGACAAAGCCACGAATGGCTGAGACCATGGGAACAACTTCTAGCTGGAGCTGAGAGGCTGGTTTCTGGCAGGTTCTCAGATTGCCAGGCCAGCTCAAACTGTTCTCCTAATGCAAATCTAGATAGAAAACCCACTGAGGCACAACTCAGTGAGCTGGTGGAGGGATCAGGCCAAAGCTTTGCTGGTGTAAGGAAGTTTGTGCTTCTTCCTCCACAGAACTGGACATTGAGCTCTGTGTCTCTGAAATTGACCTCTGTCAGTGCAGCTCATGGGGTCCCACTTGTGTGTGTGTAAAGAAGGGAGTTAGTTTTGAAGAAGGGGTAACACATTGTTTAAGGCAAGAATAGGTTGTCACTGCTGTCAACGATGAGCAGCACAGCACAATAAGCTCACTCAGTCAGCTGGATACAGAGGGCTCAGAGATCCCACAATTGGTCCTTGGCCAACTCCAACAGCCTTCCCTTCAGTGGGATAAAGAACCTGATTTACACCAATCCAACCAGTCTCTGACCTCTCAGCATGGCTGGGAAGCAGTTTTTCTGAAAGTCAGAAACTTCAGACCTTTGTTTCCATTCCCTCATGGGCTTGCTCCAGTTTCCCAAAGCCTACTCCTGCCCTACAATCCTTGGAGATCACTATGCACTTCCAAACTTGTCCTAAAGTAAAAGCAAAATACACAATAAATGCTGGGGATCAGAAATTAAAACAAAAGTGCTGAAGAAACTTAGCAAGTCAGGCAGCATCAGTGGAGAGACAAAGCAGAGTTAATGTTGAGTCCAAAGTAACTCCTCTTATTTGGAATTGAAGGGAAATGGATAGGTGATAGTTATTAGGCTGCGGAAATAGGGGAGAGGCTAGGGGTGGAGCAGGAGCAACAAGTGGAATAAATGATAAAGCTGCTGAAAAGAAAAAGGCAAAGTGGCTGCTAATGTAGTAGAAAAGAGTAGGTGTTAACGGAAGGGTGTTGATAGCAGAAAATGAGCAAGCTATAGTGAGAGCAAACCCATACAAAACAAAACACTGGGAGGAGGGGGTTGGGGTTACTGAACTCAATGACGTGTCCTGAAGGCCATCAATGCCTAAACAAACAAG